CTTCGTGCTTATCATATCACATAATTAAACCCTTGGCCTAAATTAGTTTAGGCTGATTCGTTAGTGCAACGTGTTATCTGGGCTTCCCGGTAAATTACCGAATCATGTTAAGTTTTGCCAGCATTACAGTTGTTACTGAACAAATAGGGTTGTAAAATTACGTAATCTTGTAAAATGAATTTCATTTGTGTCATTAGTGTTGTGAAATTACCGTGATTTTATCTTAAATTGGTAATTATAATGTTGATCACGTGATGTATGGTTTCTGCAATCAAATTTTCGGCGATTTGAGGAATTCGGATCATACATTCAAACTAAATAATACAATAATACAGGCCAAACTTTTGTAAAGCCGGTACTTTATATAAAACATGATAAAACATATGGGCGAAAATCTCCAATTTCGGGATGATTTAATGTGAGTGATTTGGTTAAATAAAATTTGAACAAATCATTTATGTGGTATGGAATGATTATTGAGAATAAAAGTGATTTTTTTTTTGATCAGAAATTATAAGCTCGATAATGAATTGCTTATAAATTTTGTACGTATGTACCTAATTGTGACCTAATTACTATAAATTTTGTATGTATGTGACCTAATTATAAATTTTCTACATATGTACGTACGTACGTACCTGATTAAGATTTTTTGTATGTGCCTGATTGTAACCTGATTACTTACAAATTTTTTTTATGTATCAGGTATGTACATACGTAACGTACCTAAATTTTTGTTATATGTACGTACATACGTACATGATTATCATATCACCTTATTTTTAATAATCACTGTGTTTCAACTGGAGATTTTTGCCTATATGAATTACATGAAATTTGATTTAGGCCGCTTGCAGTTGATCTTTGGATAACATCACCCCCCAGTTGAAGTCTCCCCTGAACAACCAATCAAAACGCTGGATGACTCTCGCCGATCACTTGATTTATATCGACCAATGAAATTGGCCCATATTGGTTCATTTTTATATGTTCGTTTCCTTTTACCTCCCCCCCCCCCCCCCTCCTGGGAGTCCTAGAAAATGATGTTAACCAAGGAATCAACTTCGAACGGCCTGTGTGTTAGTTTAATTTTTAACAACCGTAGTCCAATCGCTACTTATAAATAAAAAATTCACAATAACTATAGTCGTAAAAAAAAACTTTATATACGTTTGATTTTATTAGTATATTGCATTTTAATAAAGCATTATTATATTGATTAATATAAATTATAATAAAAATTTTTTTGTTTTATTAATTTATTGCATTTTAATAAAGCATTATTAGATTGCTTTAATATAAGTTATAATAAAAGTTTTTTTTGCTTCGGACGTTTATCAGATCCTGATTTCCTAGTATATAAAGTTTTATATAAGATTTTGTGATAGTTTTAATGTTGAATCTTTTTTAAAACTCGGCTTTTGTTATCGTTAGATGTTTAATCAAAAAAAGTCATGATATTTGTTACGAATTGGCTTTGTAACCGAAAATTTAAAGTCGTAATTGTGCAAAAAAAGTTTCCTTATCATATTATATATAAAGGTTTAAGTTTTTGTGATAGTTTTATTGCTGAATTTTTTTAGAGAATCCTGCCGGGTATGTCAAGATCATAATACATAAAAATCTAATTTTTAATATAAAACCTTATATAGATTTGATTATTTAGTATATGAAATACCCCAATGTCACCTACACTTGAATTACTTCAGGAGCTATACAATTTGTAAACACAATAATTAACATAAAATTAAAAGACTCTTTATCATGAGTATCTTCAAATAAATACGGAATTCTTGATTTTTAGATATTTCACTCAATAAGGCAGAGCAATGATTTACATCTTTTATGATCCACTTCTATTCCATGAAATAAATATTCGAGATTTAAAATTCCATATTATATTTTAAATAGAAAAAAAAACCATATAACTTTTGCTTATTTTTAACCATAACGCAGTTTAACAAAAAAAATTTAGTGATTTAATAGTGTATATTGCTTGTGGATTTATTTTTTTAATATGCAGAAGTATTATATTTTCTGGAAAAATTTACTTTTTGCCAAGAATTTTTTGACATAATATCATGAACGAAATTCCGAATATTACCAACACGTTGCACAGGTAGAACAATAACCCTTTTCAACAAGTATTCTTTCAAAATCCTTGGTGTGATATGCAACCTTTCTGAATATCGTCTAAATATTTTCCAACCTTTTATATTACATGTATAAGAGATACGGAAAGGATTTCGATAATAAAGAAAATATTTGGAAAAGTTGTTTATCGCACCAAATATTTTTGAAAGAATACTTATGAAAAAGGTTTATTGTTCTACCCGTGCTGTCTATTTAATGGATTAGCATCCTAACATTTTTGCATTAAATCAATATAGACTTGTGGTAAATTTCTATATATCTTCGGATGAAAACCATTGAGAATATTGTGACGTCCAGTGGGAGAGTCTTTCTTATATCAATACCAATTTAACTCCGGGTCGTCAACATTAAAAGGAAGAAAGCAAGTATTTATTATCTCTTTCCAGGTACCAAAAGTACTAAACCAATATCTTTTATTGTGTCCCAGACACTAACAGTATTAATATCTTTATTTCTACTAACCAGCCTAGCAAGTTCCAAACTTGCTAAAATCTAACTAAAACTACAAAACTAAGAACTGACTAAAACTCTCTCTATTAACTAACTAACTCAACGTTCTATTATCCTATATTTATACATACAATTAGACTACAAATTAACTATAGACTATTTACAATTATGTCGTATAACGATATAAAAGTCTAATTAAAGTATGCGTTACGATGGGGTGGCCGATCATCCAATAAAATCAAACATATGTCTAGTTCTATATAAATTTACAATATTACAGTTTTTTTTTTATCAATAAATTTTTTATAAAATTATAATATGTGATCATTCAATGATAAGGCGCATGATGCTCATTTCAATGTATAACAGTATTTAGTAAACTATAGAAGCGAGACCGCAAACACATTTTAAAGGTTTAAATGGTTATTCAGCCTTAATTGCTCGATGAATTGGCACCAAACTTGGTAAAAAGAAGTCGTAACACTTCTTTTATAAAGCTATGTTAAAATAATTATACTTTATATATAGTCTTACCAATTTTTATAATATACGTTTTTTAAAAAAAGTCTTAGATTATATATGTACCAGTTTTAAATTTATTTTTTAATTGAAAATTTTACTATGGTATGTAAAATCTGAAAACATAGAGATGTTAAGAATGCATTAAAGATTGAAAGATGTTAAAATCGAAAGAAAATTATTATTATTAAGCATTAAATATCCAAATGAATTTTATTAATCTTTTAATATAAAAATTGCGGCATATTTTTTTGATCAAAAATCTATTATTATACAAAAAACAATGAGACTAGACATATGTTTGATCCTATTTGATGATCGGCTACCCCAGCGTTACGACTATAAACTTCGCATAGACTATTATAAGGTTACACTACAAATTATATATGTTACACAAGTGAAAGTTTAATTTTGAAGTTGCGTAACAAATATCAAGAAAGACTTTGACCAGTTATTATTTCATACATAATTATTACATAGCTGTAAATTCCTGATGCTTCTGTATATTTTTCACCTTTGAACAAATATGGAATCACACCGTATATTTCTTTGTATCTGTTATCGAATTTTCTGGTTTACTTATCACAAAATCTCTTATATCTATCTTACAATCACTTACATAATCAAAGTATATTACTACTATGAAGATCTCGATGAATGATTTATTTGCAATAAATCTTTATTGATTCCCATGACTATTTGTATAAACGTACCTAGTTTTTTATTCCAAAATAAAGTAATATACAAAGTCCATTACAATTATAAAATTTTTGTTTTCGGATGTTGTGTGATGCCGTAATATCGGTGCACATAGCCGCCATGCTGAGCATAACAAAAAAAATTTTTTAACTAAAATATGAAGATAACTAATAAAATTTAATAAGTTATATGATTGTAACAACAAAACCTTCATTTAAAAAATTATGCCTAAGTTTAAATTTGTTAAGATTTTGAAGAACAACTGTTCTACTATTACAGTATTAAAATTTTCAAATATTTTATTTAAAGAGATCCAATGTGAAGTTATGCCATGAAAACATGTTGCCTTTTATATTTTACTAAATCCGTCTACAGCAAGATAAGCAATATTACTAAATTATCCATACGGAATAAATTCTATAAAAATGTTTTGTACAGCTTGTTGATAATTTTATTAAGCTAATTGTTTATAATTTCATTTCCACTTAATCAAGATTACCAAAGTTGTTAATTGGAGTATCATACTCTTGAGCACGCCGGAGTGATTTATTAAAATATATTAAATAGAATATTCACACCAGTTTGCTAAGCTAAAGACGAAACTGGAGCATCATATTAGAACTTAGTATTCTAAACTGGTTTGGGTTGAAACTAATTTAAAATCGACCAAACCCATTAATAATCCTAGCGATAATTGCTACTGTCGGCCACTGCATGCAGCATCTCGGCTAACTTCATATTTAAAATTAAATAATACCGGTACTATTCACAAACTCGGGGCTACTTTATGTGGTAAGATATTATTTTTTTGTCGATACCGTATGAATTGGCCAGCAATATATATGCTTATAAGGTTAATTCAGTAAATATAACTTATTAATTAATTACAGAATTAGAACCTTGAATATAACCTACTGGTATTTCCGTTTCTGATTTTAACGCAATTACATTGCGCAGCTACCTCATTGTTATTTGTGCAGTTTACAAAACATGACATGCGCATAAAATGCATAACAAGCCTGATCACAAATAAATTTGAGTAAGAAATGTTGCGCTTCGTGCAAAGCTTTGTAAACATTATTTTTGAAACAAAAAAAGCAAAACTATATTTTTGATATTCATGGTTTGTACTTTTATTTCAATAATTGTAGTTCGCATTTACAGTAATATTACTAAAATTAATTAGATGTTTCTTTGGCATTCGTGAGATTAGGAGAATCTATATTCAATGCCTCAAAAACTGCAAAGTAAGGAGAAGCAATAGCGTATCTGGAATGTTCTGTTAACCATGCTGCATGAAGAATACCAAGGGCTTTTCCTTCTCGATCTACGCTTTTTTTGCCTGTGATATTACTATATGATGAGATTTTCCTTTGCTTTTTTCCAAACTCGATGCTTTCATTTGATATGCCAATGGATATAACATTAATAATGGGAACCAATTTACCATGAGTGAGACCGGTAGTTTTTCCTACTTTAAAACATCTAATTCATTAATGTCATCAAACATTTCATATGTATAAAAGACATTTAGACAAGTATTTTCAGGAAGGTTTGCTTTTTTGAAGTACTCTGGGGAAATCGAAAATTTATTCGGATATAACGTACGATTATTATTCGCAAAAATATAAAATGCAGCATCAACACCAAAGTCCTTTCGATAAATTTTTGAAGTGAAGTTTTTGCATATGCCGTCCTTATAAAAAGCTAGGGATGAATTCTGTTTGTCCTTGTTAATCTGAGCATACATTATTTCAGAATTTGTTTACATGCACTGTTTTCAGTCGATAAATCAACATATGACTGTTTCAATTTATCTAGATCTTCGTGTGAAGGCTGATTGATTATGACACCTGTTCTAGCACGCAAATTGCTAAATCTGTATATATGTTCACATGAAAGGATACCTATTTTTGAATCTTTATCATACACAATGGCACTGAAAGTTCCAGACGTTCTCTGCGGTTCTATTACGCCTATGCTCGAACCTGACTTATCATTCTCTTGATAAGCCTGACAAGTACTCACAACAAAGCCGTAGGGTGTTACAACACAAGCTTCGACAATATCCACTGGATATCCATGATCTCATCTGGGAATATGGTACCAACCAGATTAGGCCACGCAAAGTTAATTTTTCGTTTTGCATTACCCGCCGACCCAAAATTTTCAAAATCCCTATTTTTTTTTTTTTTTTTTTTTTGAGTTTCAATTATGCTAATTATTCCATTTTTGCTGTTTATTTTTTTCATCTTTTTTATCCGGTTTTCACCGACGGTGACCTTAATCTTCCGGAATTATCCGATAGGACACCAAGCGAAAACTATACTTCGGGCCTTTAACTTTATAAATTTACTGAACTAAAACATGTCTGCAACAAATAAAATCGTAAGCCCAAAGTCTGGTCGTCCTTTGGTGACGTTCAAATTAAAAAAAAAAAATTGTAAAAAAAAAAAAATCCGACCGACCGCCAATTTTTCAGATCCCATGTAATGCAAAACGAAAAATTAACTTTGCGTGGCCTTATAGTGTGCCTCACGGAAAGATGGCCCCAGTTCATTATCCAAGGCATCATCGAAAACCTTCTGTAAATTTTGTGGGATCTTTTTCCAGATCAGCAGAGGATCATGGAGATTTTGTGGTGGAATTTCGGCGTTGATAAATCCTTTCTCTTCAGATATGAAATGAATAACTTAACCTCTGTTTTTTCGTACAAGTAAAGATAATTGCTAGTAACCACATAAATACTCCATGATGTATCACCTGTGTGAATATTTTTTCTCCAGAATATGTCTACGATGTCATCTTGAGCATGTAGCTGGCAAAGGCAAATTTCAAGATCATCATTTCAGGGAATTGTTTCAATTGTAATTTGAGGTTCTATGGATTTTTCTTCGGATGTTTTACTATCTTCTATTCTTAAGTAAATTTAATTTGAGTGTCATGCAGAGCAAAATTAAAGTTTATTTCAATTCGAAAAATTACCTTCAACCTCATTTTGCTCATAACAAAAAATCAAATTATAGATTTTATCATGAACTTCCCAATAAGTCATATTATTAATTTTTAGGTTGTGAAAATCATTGACACTAGGCCTTTTCCCTTTTGTTGCTTGTATAAATTTTGTAAATGAATTATATTTTTCATTTTTGGTACTGTAACCGTTGATGGGAGAGCTTAATAGAATTACGTAGGTAAAGGCCAATTTAACTCCAACGGTGTACGGAGAATAAGGCTATTTTTAGATAAGCGAAATGGGGTTTATATAACTGATAGAGGACTAGTTAGACAATAAGAGTGATGATTAGAGGTGAAGCAACTACAGGTGATGCTGTTAAGGGTGGGTAATATTAAAAACTGTGATGTGTTAGCAGACGATGATCAAGTGATATCAGTGATAGGGGTTGGACCCGGGTAGAAATTGTTGATATATGATCATAATAAATTACCCGGATAACCCGGGTAATTTAATAAT